TCAGACGGTAATTTTTAGACAAGTTCGAGTTATTAAACTTGAACTTACTCGTCATATACTCATAAAGCGGAAAAAGGTACTGGTCATTACACACAGAAAACTCAGGGGAACTTTTATTAGAATTCCTTAATGAAAACTACTTAACCAATATGAAATAGAGTTACATGATAATAATTCACGTGGACAAGTTAAGTGAAACCCTCTGTATAAGAATAAAAGGGATGTACATGTACATTATTCACACCATTATAGAAAACAGAAAATTAGGTTCCTGATTATCTATTGAGCAGTTATATTTTATTTTGATTTTCCTTTATAAATAAAATAAAAAGTAAAGAACGCGGAGCGAATGTGAGATGTAGATACGTAACATACTTCATACAGTAATCGCGGTAATTATTAAATAATTTAGTTGTATCTTTCGTGCATATGAACATGCTATTATTTACGCAAATATTTGATTATAACGATTAAGTTATTTCGGTATAAATTATTAAATATTTTATAAAGCATGTAAACGTAATGTTAAAAACTACAGAATATTTATTTAACGGAAGCGTTTACTTGATGATCATGCGAATTCTTTGATATTTATTACTGATATTAAGTACCTACATGTAATTAACTCCCACGTATGTATTTTTATACATTTCGGTAATGCAGTTGAAAATATGTTTGTTAGTAAGTAAAACAACTAATAAAAAAATTAACAACCAATTTTTCTAAATGTAAAATAGCTTGAATATTTTATTTAAGAAGGATTACAAAAATTAAAAACAAAATTACGCTGTTAATAAGTAGAAAACATTTTTATTAAAATAGTACAATATTTAATTTGAAATTTTTGAAAACTTGAACATGAAAAAAATTTGAAAGATGGAAATTTATGAAGAAATAAGTTAAAGTAAACACCTTTACACTAAATAGTTTATCAAAACTATAAATAAAATACGATTTATCAATTTTGCAATGCAAACTTGAAAAAACATTGGCCTTAAAAATCAATAATAACCAAATTTAGGACTATTGATAATAAATTTTGTACTTACCTTAAAAACTATGTTTTTAGTTCACTAATGTATTAATAAGGAAGCACAATTTACGTTTCAATTGTTTTGTATGACACTGTTTAAAATACTAATAAGCAAACTGTGCAAAGAATTTGACATTTCGGTCAAACCTGCGAGTACGGTATGCCAGGAATTTCAAATATTTACACAGCCTCCTGTAGGAAAAAGCTGAAACTAAAGAGCCAGATTCACGCAGAGCAATAACTATTTCGTGAATCACGTGACAGTTTCGTTTATTCGTATTTACTACCAAGTACGTAAGAATAATTATTCTTGTTAATGTAATGCAAGCTATTTTCATAAAAAATATCATGCAGAACAAGCAAGTTTATAATAAATAATTACTACTTGTTTCTCTTGCGTGAACATGACTTGTACCAAATGCTTCGACTCAATTGGTGCAATTTTCGCGTTGAATTAACGATTGTTACGGAGGAAAATAGTTTCGATACTGCTATAAAAAGAATTTATAAGCCGAAAGACACTTGTTAATATTGTAAAATGGATTAGATAATGGAAGAAAATTTTCAATTATTTCATTTTAAATAAGAATATTTTATTTTCGGAGTTTAACATTGTTGTGATAATGTGAAATAATGTAATTTGATGTATTTAAGTGTAGAATGTTTTAAATTTTTATAAAACATTCTTTCTAGTTCGACTTAATAATAACAGCGCTGTACTGTGGGTTGCTCGCAATCTTATTTACAATTACTATGTTTAGTATTGTCATATGATTGTCATTATCTCTAGTCATATGTCAACAATAACATTCCATAATTAAATAGCCAACAACCATCAATTAAAACGTTTGGATTCATCTTATTCATATTAAGGAAAATGGTAATTTAAAAGTTACTGTATTAATTTAAGCTATTCTTAAGTGAACGGAGAAATTTGAAATCTGTTTTCAACGTCCCATCGTCTCAATTATACAATTATCATAATGACAGTGATAAATGATAGTACTGTATGGCTTCCATTGTTTTTCTCGAGAGTTCGTGAAGGTGTTTACAGCTTTTATATTTAGTTTAGTGGTCATGTAGTGGATGTAAGCAAATCATTACAAATTCGCGTGTGCAAATNTGTTGCTCAAAAAGGTTAAAATATACTATAATATTTATTACCTACTTTTGTATTTATAACAAACAATATCTCATTATAGCTTAACAGATTGTTAGAGGACTATTTGAAACTGGACAACAACCAAAAACAATTCTTCCTAATAAAAAGATCTGATTTAAAAGTACAAACATTAAATTCATGTTTTTCAATTAAAACCAAAGAAAATATTTTGATAAATGAAGATGATTATTTCTTCTGCTTCTCAGATCCTTGCATGACTGATACATATGCAGGATGGCCTCTTAGAAATTATATTCTTTTTCTACTGTACTATTGGTAAATATATAGCAAGTAAGGCTCAAAAAATGTAATCTAATCAATTGTAGAAAAATATGTAGTTGCACATTTTTTTAATTGTTAGCGATTAACATTGTTAATAATGTTTTATTTTCAGTCCCAAATTAGCTGGAAAATCAGTAAATGTAATATCTTTCCGAATACATAGACAAGAATCTCAAACATTATGTGATAACAGTATCATTTTTACCGTTCGAATTTCTAATGATATTGGCCCACTTGAAGATTTTGTTAATGAGAAGGATTCGTGGATTGGATGGGAAAGAAACGAGAAAGGAAATTTTGGTCCTAAATTTTCAAATATGAGAGGATCGTTGGATCCTGTGGGGTAAATATAAATTATCAAGAGAAAATTATAAAAATTTTATTTTTGTGTCCATAGTTTAACTCAATCATCAGCCGAATTAAATTTGAAACTGATGAAATGGAATCTGGTGCCAAATTTAGATTTGGAACGAAATCATAGTACAAAATGTCTTTTATTTGGGGCAGGAACTTTGGGATGTGCTGTATCCAGGTCATTAATGGTAAATGTTATTATTAGGAATTATTTCTGTTGTATAAAAGCAACAATTCTTTTTAGAGCTGGGGTGTAAAAAGCATAACACTAATCGACGGTGGCAAAGTCTCGTTTTCCAACCCTGTAAGACAGTGTTTGTACACTTATGAGGACAGCTTAAAAGGAATTCCAAAAAGTGTGGCAGCGGTTAAAAACTTAAAAGAAATCTACCCGTTGGTGGTAAGTATTTATAACTTTGTGCAATACAAATTTAAGTATCATTTTTATGTTTATAAGGACGCACACGCTTTTTCTTTATTCGTACCCATGCCAGGACATCCTGTGGGTGAAAGTCTCTTAAAACAAACGTTAGAAACTGTAAAAGAAGTTGAAAAACTTGTGAAAGAAGCTGATGTAATTTTTTTGCTTACTGATTCAAGAGAAAGTCGTTNTATAAGGACGCACACGCTTTTTCTTTATTCGTACCCATGCCAGGACATCCTGTGGGTGAAAGTCTCTTAAAACAAACGTTAGAAACTGTAAAAGACATTGATGTTGTTTTAAGTATATTAAGAAAAATCAACATAAGTTGAGCTCAATAGTATCAAAGAAAAAGTAATAATGAGGAAAAAATAGAACTAGTTGTTACTATGATGAACAGAATGTTTGATTTTAATTTGGTTCATACTTTTGTGGGGGTCTTTAATTTTTTAATTTTATGATAGTACAAATTTTTATCATTCAAAACAAAAACATTTCTTTCTCTTTTTAAAAAGAAAAAACTTAGTATACTATTCACACATTTCCATGATATCAGTTGCTCAAAAAGTCGTGTTTGCTGATAATATTAATTATTTGTAGAAACGTATAAATACTATGCTGTTAAAAAACGACATGATTATATAACTTAATCGCTCAGGGATTAAGCGTTATTTCTTGTGTGGTCAATGTTGTAGCTTTTATTAGTATTTGTTGATGCTACGTGTGTTGCTAAAAGTAACAATATTCGCTTTTTTGTTAAAATTTCTATAGACGATCTTTTCT